TGTAACTTTACTGAATTCATTTATTAGTTCTAACAGTTTTTTGGTGGAATCTTTAGGGTTTTCTAGATATAAGATCAAGTTGTCTGTAAACACATACAATGTAACTTGTTCCCTTCTAATTTTGATGTTTTTTATTTCCTTCGCTTGCCTACCACTCTGACTAGGGCTTCCAGCACTATGCTGTAGAGAAGTGACAAGAGTGGGCATCCTTGTCTTATTTCCAATCTTAGAGCAAAACTCAACTTTTCTCTGCTGAGCATGACATTAGCTGTGGACTTGTCATTTATGGCCTTTATTGTTTTGAGGTACATTCCTTCTGTATCTGATTTTTTGAGAGTTTTTATCATGAAAGGATGTTAGATTTTGTGAAATGCTTTTTCTGCATCTATTGAAATGATCATATGGTTTTCCTTCTTTATTCTGTTAAACGGTGTAGCACATTTATTGGTTAGCATATGTTGAACCATCCTTGTACCCCAGGGATAAATCCCACTTGTACATGGTGAAACAATCCTTTTAATGTGCTGTTAAATACAGTTTGCTAGTATTTTGTTAAGGATTTTTGCATCTGTGTTCATCAGATATATTGGCCTGTAATTTTCTTTTCTTGCAGTGTCCTTGTCTAGATTTAAATTATCAGGGTAATGCTGGCCATGTAAAATGAGTTTGTAAGCATTCCTTCCTCTTCAATTTTTTAAAAGAGTTTGAGAAGGACTGGTGTTAGTTTTTCTTTAAATGTTTAATTCAGGCTGGGTGCAGTGGCTCGTGCCTATAATCCTAGTGCTTTCGGAGGCCAGGGTGGGAGGATCACTTGAGGCAGGGAGATCAGCTTGAGCAACAGAGCAAGACCCAGTCTCTACAAACAATAAAAAAAATTAGTCAGGCATGATGACACTCGCCTATATTCCTAGCTACTCAGGAGGCTGAGACAGGAGGATTACTTGAGCCTAGGAGTCCAAGGCTAAAGTGAACTATGATTACACCACTGTACTTCAGCCTGGGTGACACAGAGAGACAAGTCTCTTAAAAAAAAAAAGTTTTATTCAGCAGTGAAACCATCAGGTTCTGGGCACTTTTTATTATGGATTCAATCTCCTTACTCATTACTGGTCTGTTCAGATTTTTTATTTCTTCATGATTCTGTCTGCCCAAGTCACATTCATGATGTGTAGTCATGCATTTCAAATAAACAAGATTATGTTCCAACATGATACATACTAATAATACTTCCATGAAGCTTCAGGTCAGATTATGAAGTATTAAAAAAGATGCTTACAATAAATTCTTAATAACATGGGAGAGTGCATGTTATAATCTTAGGTGGAAAAAAGAAATCTGAATTGTACACACAGATTGATCTTGTGATGTTTGAAACACATGAGTGTGTAGAAAAGTTCTGAAGCAGATTTTCTGAAATGGATAAGTGATTTAAGAAATTGTTAGTGATTTTTATTTCTTCCTTTGTATTTTTCTACATTTTGTGCATTTTCTAGAAAGAAATCTCTTGTAAACTTTATTTTTTTCTGCCCCTCCCCACTCTTGTAAACTTAAAAAAACTGAAAACTACAACACATTAAAATGAATATTCAGTTCTACAACTTCGGCGAAGATCAATTATAAAACAATCACAATATAATGATAACAATAACAGTTAACATTTGAATGCTTATTAAGCAGGCATTGTTCTAAGGGCTTCACAAGTATCAACAAATGTAATCCTCACCTAGAAGGTACTTACTATTTTGTCCCCATTTAAAAGGGGAAGGAAACTCTTAAATAATAGTGAAATTTTAATTACTTTAGTAGTAGAAAACACTTAAATCTGAACTGCTTTCTTTGTAATTCAATTTACAAGGAATATGATTTTAAAAAGTTCCACAAAATATTTTAAGTAACACATTTCAGCAAATTCATTGACTATCATCATTTATTATGTAGTCAATATATGGGGCCCTAGAATTTGAAATTAGATTCTCAAGTGTAAAACAGGAAAAACCTAGTAAGTAATGAATAGGATGAGTCATCTGTACAAGTGATTATTCTATAAGCACCAGATTATAAACTCTCTCAGAGCTTATATCTACCACACCACTATATTCTTAGGGCATGATATAGTATATTACACATGGTAGGTGCTTAAAAAATATTTGGGGAAGAAATGCGGGTAGATAATTCTAACACTAGGCAACTGAGGAATTATGGAACTATCTAATTTGAATAAATGTGACCTGACTACAACTTCAAAAAAGGATATCTGTATTAGCATATTGTAAGCTATAACCAAAACAATTGTATTGTATGTAATTATGCCCAGCTTTAAGAAAGAGGACAAGTCAACGTGGAGCCTAAGAAAAAAGAGCCAAAAGTTAAAACTTTACCTGGGGGTCTTTTCATTATCTCCAGGGTATAACTGGACTGGACTAGTTGGCAGGTATAATCTTTTAACCTGGAGATTATTACATATATTATGAAAGTAGCCATGAAGATCCCTAACTTAATTTATTCTGACAATATTTCAACTAAGAATCTTCTCATTATATTTTGACTTCCTATTTGGGTTTGCCTATAGTCAAAGAACATGCTAATACGACTTTTATGTTCTACTTACTAGATGGTTATAGTTCTCCAAATAAATTAGTAAACTAAAATTCCAGCCTCTTCTGATAGTAATATGAAATAGTGCCTAAACAACCAATAAAATTTGTTACTGCATTCTTAAAATTGAGTTGTAAGACATGCAAAGCTAAGTACCAGACCCAAGAAAGTGGCAACAATATATCACAGTGTGAAATCATATCTAGGGATACAGCTGGCCTTCTGAGATATCTCCTGTTAGGGAACATAAAGAACTACAAAAAAAAACCCCAGAAATGTAAACATAAATACAACTTTATTCATTGATCTATTTAAATAAAATAAAATTGGGAATACCTTCAGAAAGTTCACTAGTTTTGGATATCTGTTCCAGTTCCCAGCCAAGATGTAACGACTCATCCATACTTTGTTTCTGTGCCATTTCCAAAGTCATATTTTCTTCCATTAATTCTTCAATCTTTTTTCTATCCATATCTCGTTCCTTTTGTATTGGCAGGGAGTAGGGAGAGAAAAGAAAGCTAAGAAACAATACCATTTCAAGCTAATATTTTATTACTTAGAACTTTCATTTATTAGAAAATAATACAAAAACTAAGTTCCTTAAAATTTTCACACTTTAAAGGCAATTATAATTATTACTGGTCACTATACTGAGTAGGTGTCTGACATCCTTTTAAAGTGATCTTTGGAGACACAGTGAAAACTCTTCTTCATAGTCAATATTTTGTTTTAGTGATATAACAAAGTAAGTATAAAGAATTATGCTAAATGTCAGCAATAGCTTTATTTCTGTATTTTTATAGACATTTTTAAATAATAGCTTATTTATTGTGGTCTTGAAAAGTAGAAGACAAAATTAATCAGTAATGCCCTCTGTAACAAAAGCAGAAATTTCTACTACTTCTGTATTTATATAAAGTTGGAAGCATCTAACTTATATAGTTATCTCTTATCTGTTAAAGCCTCAAGGACACTAGCCATCCTGTCATTATAAGGAAATAAGCAGAATGTTAAAATTTTTCCTTAGAGGCCGTGTAACTGATCTACCCCTAAAGCTTACCATTTCCATATCATGAAGTTTAGCCTTCAGTTGTAAGTTCTCTTTTTCTAATTCATGTAATTTATCAGAACGAGCTCGAGTTCCTTCTAGTTGGTCTTCCAACATGGTTTTTGTCTCTAATAAAACTTGATTGTCTTCTTTTAATTCCTATAAACATTTCAAACAGCCTTTATTTATCACAATTGTGTTAATATCTGTTAATTTTTTTAAAGCTCTGGAACATAAAAGTTATTGTAAAAAAAGAACATTAATCCATCTTTATCAACAGTTCTATGCAAGAGTAAAGTTACTGAGTAGTAAAAATATAGTTGAAATTTTCTTGGCTTCATTTTTTCCCCCAGAATTTAAGCTATTATGCAAACAAAATACTCAATACTTATATTAGGATGAGTAATACTACTGTAATTTCACATGAAATTGTCAGGGTATATTTAAATTTCTTAGTCACAAGGATAAGGAACTAAGTACAAGTAGTCTTCCAGATATTTAAGACACAAATCTCCATAGAATCAGGGCTTAATTTATTGACTGAAATGCATTTAAAGATTTCACTGTACTTAGAGCTATAACTTGAAAGTGAAAGGTTTGAGGTTTTTAAGATTTGAACTAAGACTCACATAAAGCAAAAACCAAGGCTCTATTAATACATATTTTACATAAACACCTTAAGGAAATTCTTAAAAATCCCTACATAAGTTTTTTTTTTTT